TCCAGAATGCCCCTTTGATTTCGACTCCCTCCCCTCTCAATTAGGTAAGTGCTTCTCCATCTCTTTCCAGTGTGCCAGATGCATCTCTATGGTGGTTAGCTTCTCTGAAAATGATGTGTTTGGTTCTCCCCATTGCTGCTTGAGAGGTCTTCAGTGGCTAGAATTAAGGACCCTTTTATCTTCCTTGAGGGGCCTGTCATAGTTTTCAAATAAATGCATTGTAATGCTGCTCTGGTTGTTTCTCCACTTGTTCACCTCCTGTATTTGAAGTTAAACATCAGGAGTTCATTTTCCATCTAAATGCTTATCTGTGAAATTAAATTTGAAGAAAAGATGAGTTTTTCCTTTCTCTCATTTCCCATATCCAACACTTGACAACTGAGCAGGGTGTGGAAGCTGAAGCTGAATAATTTCTTTCCTCTGCTTTCCCTGCCCAAATCAATGGGTCAGGTTGAAGAGCGGCCCCTCGTGCACTCCCTCATGAGAGAAACATTGCTAGAGACTGACCAGTTTCAGAAGTGTGCTCTCCTGAGGAGGGTGTACATGAGAGAGGGCTTCAGAGCACGCGTTCACATCTTCCAAAGCCTCCTGAAGGCTGCCTGGGGGTCCTCCCACATATCAGTCACGTGTCTTCTCATCTCTCGTTTCTACTCCAATACCTCTTGCCCTTTTTCTCTTCCCTTCTATCCTCCTCTTCTCCTGTCACCTCCCACTAGGTGGGGATTTTCTGCATGTTGGAGAAAGTGTGACATTCCTGAGGGGACAAGACAGAGAAGGTCTTTCATTTGTCTTTTTTACTTTTTTCCCCATAGGTTCTTAAGGTTTAATTTGCCTAGTAAACATTTTCTTGAGAACAGATAATTCACATGATCAGAATGTTGCTTTTTGGGTTGAAATCTTGGAGAAATAAAATTGTTCATGTTTACCTTGCTTAATTCTCTGTATTTATTTTCCTCTAAGAGCTATTTGGAGAACTAAGTAGCCAAAAGCCAGATTCAATTAATCATAGATCTCTAGTCAATATAATTGTAGTATGAGTATCTCTATTCTTTTCCCAGTCATCAATTATTTTGACTCTATGTCCTAGCTATTTCAAGAGTTTGTCTCTGTGGTGGAATGCAAAAAATGGACATCTTTTTTCTGTATGTGAAAAGATACAGCCTCTTTCTCCACCCTTTTAATCTGAACTGTTTTGTGACATGCTTTGGCTCACTGAGCAAGGCTGATACAATAGTGTGCACATATTGAGGCTGGGTCTCAAGAGGCGTTGCCTGTTTCTTCTTGATCTCTTGTTTCTAACATGAAAAAAATCCCTATTCAATTTGCCACAGGATGACAAACCATAGGGATCAGAGAGGAGCTGTCCTAGCTGAGCCACTTTAGATTAGCTTGCTCCCAGTTTACCTGTCAACTCACCACAGATGTATGAATCAGCAAGTTGAGATCAGTTGGGCTTGGCCCAGATAAGCAGAATCATACGTCAGCTCAAACATCTTGCTGACCTTCAGAACAATATGCTAAATCAAGGTTTCTCAAGGTCAGTACTATCCACGTTTTGTGTATTGTGAGGTGTTTTGCATCCTACGTAGCATATTTAGCATAATCCCCAGTCACTAGCCATGCAGCACTAACACCCCAGTTGTGACAACCAAAAATGTCTTCAGACATTGTCACATGTCCCTCCCTCCCATCCCCTGGTTGAGGATCACTGAGCTAAAAATATGGTAGATTCATTTAACCTTCCAATTTGAGGTGATTTGTTATAAGAAAAAAAAATTACTGTATTTGTAGCTCTACTGCTAATGTCTTGGGTCAGGTCCCTTTTGACTGTTTTGACTAAACTGTTGCCAGTTGCTTAACTGGGATTCTTGCTTCCTGTGGTTTACTTCTTTAAGCCATCCCACACATTTCCACTGATGGTTAAACATATAAACACACAAGCACAAATCTGATCATATCATATCATGCTTAAGTACACTTTAGTGGCGTCTCATTGCCTACTTGGCAAAATTCCAAACTGCTATTATACAAGGTCCTACATTTTCTAGCTTCCAGTATAAGCCGTATGAAGAAGTGTGTGTGTGCTCCTCTAAAAATCATCTTGTTAAGTCTTAAAGTTCTTAAGAATAGAAACTGGTACAGAGGTAATTGTCATTTTATTGGCCATCCATTATGCTGTTTTACCTTAATTTGGCAAAACAACGCACATTATTTTTGGAAAATTACCTCTGTGTGCAAGAAAGATAAGACTATCAATCAAGATATCTTGACCTTCCCTAGCTACGAGGTAGAAACGTGACACAAAGTAGGCTAATCAGCATCTGCTCCAAGGAACTGATTCTTGAGCAAAATCACACAAAAACGTTAAAAAATAGTTGAAATTTCCTCATTCTGTGGTAGCGAGTTAAGTCCTTCACCCTGCTGTAGTTACTATGTTCAGCTCCTAATTTCGTCAAGGGTAGCACAAGCTTTTCTACCTGGACAGTCTGTGATCCTTTCAACACATTAACTTTTTGTTAGCATTGTTTGGAATATTTTTCTGTTACTTGCAATAAAACAATCCTAATTTAATTGCTCAGACTACTTAAGTTTTTATCCTCACAGTAGAAAACAATAACACCTAAGGCAAGAACGAATAACAATAGCCAATGAATCTATCATAATTTAAGAAGCATTGGCAAATCATCCATAATATTTCAAACAGAATTAGTTTTTGTCCCTTTGAAGTATGTTCAAAAAATGAATTCATCATAAAATTTTTATGGCCAGCTAACTGAATCTTTTCTAGGTCCAAAGAAAAGTTGGATGTCCATGGAGCCAATAATCGCATAATGTAGATTTCAATAGGTCTAACAGTCCTGTCTGTGCTGCCAGGCTTGGGTATATATTCCATTCCTTATTATTTGGGTCAGTCTATAGAAACTAAATCTTATTATTTGGTGTTTTGTATGTAATATTTTCTTTGAATATTTTGGAATAATGGCAATAATATCATTTTCTTAAGGGCATGAAATGAGTGCTGACATTTGTTAAAAACAGTAAAGACCTAGTATTGTTTTCTTTTAATCAACTTTTATAATACAATTGAATAGTTTCTCTGTGATTGTTTAAAGGAGAAAACAGCAACTTAGTCATCTATTTAACACATGAATAAAGTCCTTAATAAAATCTTTTTTCCCTTCTGATGGAAGCTCCTTTAAAGTCATTTTCCAGTGACATGAAGTTGCTAAAATTCTCATATTTATGTTAAAATAATAGCACTGGGGTGGGCATTTGGCACAGGGGTTTCAGATGCTGCTTGGGATATCCGCACTCCATATCAGGGTGACTGGATTGATTCTTGTCTACTCAACCTTCTTTTTGTTAATGTACATCCTGGGAGGCAACAGATGATGGCTTAAGTATTTGAGCTCCAGCCACCCATCTGGAAGACCCAGATGGGGTTCCAGGCTCCTGGATTTGGCCTGGTTGTTGCAGGTATTTTTGTAGAGAACTAACAGATAGAAATCATGGCATTCACTCATTTGCAGATATTTCATAATACATACATTTGAATAAATCAGTGTAGATTTCTATGAAACAAGTTTATATTAATAAGATTTTATTATGTTTTTGGTATATCCATCTGAAAGGAAGAAAAAATAATTTTCTCTTTAAGTTTTGTTTTGTCTTCTATCTATATGTACAAAGTTTCCTAGGTGCCCCAAGTAACTATAAACTTTATCAGTGTTTGCCAGAGTGAAAAATAAGGTGGTACAGAGGTTATGTTATATGTCATTTCTGCTTTATTCGCACACATACAAACAGAAGCAACAGTGTGAATTAGTTTTCCGTTGACTGACTATGAGACTCCACTAAACTTGCTTAGGTTCTTGAGAGTATGAGGATGCCCTCTTGAGGTAGTTATTAGCGTTGTTCACCTACTGAACCTCTTGTGTTCTGTTCTCATTTTGGCTAAGAGGGGCTAGGTGATTGGTTTTGAACAGTAAGTTGCAAGCAGAGGGGTGCGTTATTTCTAGAGCAATCATGTAATACCCAATATGAGAACCTTCAGAATTCTCTTTTCTCTCACCTTTTAATTAATTAATTAATTAGTTTTCATTAAGAGAAATAGATAGATCAATCTTCTATCTGCTGGTTTACTTCCCAAATGCCTACAACAGCAAAGGTTGGGCCAGACCCAAGCCAGGAGCCTGAGACTCCCACATGGATGGCAGGGACTCAAGTACTTGGGTCATCAACTGCTGCCTCTCAGGGTGTACATTAGCAGGAAGTTCTATCAGAAGTGGAATAGTTGGGACATGAACCAGAGACTCTGATATAAGATGCAGATGTCTCAAGTGGCCATTTAACCACTGTACCACACACACACACACTCACCCCTCGTCTTAATGTTTGGGATAGTAAGTGCTGCATGAATGAATACTATGATCAAAATAAGTAGATAGCATAGATTAAACAAGAAAAAGAGCTTTGTTGTTTGAAGCCAATAAAATGTTGTCATTATTACAGCATAATGTTGCTTTTCCTGACCTATAACCCCTCCATTTCTGCAGAGCAATTCTAGTGTCACCACCTTTTCTCTCAATGGTAACAAATAAGAAGAAAATCTATAGTCTTTTGCTGAGTTTCTTGCCAATAGGCTATAGAAAGTCAATTACTTTGGCCTTCTATAATGTATTTGCAGGCACACACAATCTTCCTGCCTTCCCTTTACCCACTTCCACACCACCATAAAGTGGCTTGAAAGCTTGAAAATATCCTCAACAAATTCCCATCAACCATAACTTCAATCCTAATAGGTAGAATGGAAAACATCTGTCTCCATCATCTACCAAATTTCTTTTTAGCCTTGAAAATTCTTCCCTTTCACCTAACAAGTTTCCAACATGCATGTCTGTTTTATATTTCGATGTGTGGGGGAGAGTAGTGTTTGTCACTTTTCCTAATCTCCAGATTTAGTAAACACTCTTCCTCCATCCTTCAGTCATTCCACTTACAGATCAGCTCTCCTTTGCTGTTAGTCTGATTATTGATACTTCACATGTACTCTTCCCAGAAAAGCTGTAAATAAAGGGGATAGAAATGAGGTGGAAGGCAGAACACAGGCTTTCCCTAACATTTTCTATGCCTATCATAAATCATGCCCAGATTTTAAAAATTGCTGTTGGAATTGGCACACACACTAACACAGTCCTTATTGCATTTTTGAGAGTTGTGGTGCCATAATCTGTAGGTTTTGTGATTCCAGAGGGTTGTATGTCTGCAATTTGACAGGAAAGCTAAAGAAAGCCTCTTTCTTCTACTCTGACCATTTAGCAGGAGCTAAGTGGCCCAACAGAGACCAATGAAAGCAGTGAGCAGAAAGGAAGCAGGACAGGGTTATGGGTCATAGCTAGTGAGTGGAGAAGGAGCAGCAACCCCATGGTTTGCAGTTTAATAGTTTCCACTACCCCAGTGGCAGCACTGAGATGTCTTTATTTAAAAATTTAAGGTTAGAGACTGCTTTCATTTTTGTTTTTCTAATTCCAAGGAAAAGTAAATTTTTTGGAGATATGTTATTCTTTCCTTTACAGTCTGAGGTGTTTTTATTGTGTTTTTTTCTGGAACTGGATGGTGTATACATAAAATGGAATAATTCACATATCTCTGATGGACTGGTTGAACTACTAGGAGTGCTCTGCTGAGAAACACTGTAAGGTACTGCTTCAGGGGTGACTCAGTTGTCTCCATGACCCAGGGTGGGTTCTCTGATTTTCAACCTTGTTCTAGAAAGTATTTCAGTAGGACTCTCTTATATTCTTGTACTTCTAGAAAGAAAAGTGAATATATTTCCGTCTCAAAATACAGTTGTTCATTTTTTTTGCTTTCATCTCTTTAGAGAAAGCATATCAACCGGACACTCTTCTCTTACAGCTGGTTTTAGTTCAGGTCTTCTAAATGCTAAGTTGGAAGCAACACTGTGTAGAAGAAAGTTTTTAAAGGTTTTTCAGGAGCATTTTTGTTGTTAGTGTTTGTTTTTAGTGAGATCTCACATGGATTCTAGTACAAAACAAGTAACAGGTGGATCTATTTTGTTTAAACAGAGGGCATGATCCCAAATCGAATGCCTTAGACTCTATTCCTCTTTCCTTTCACACTTTTGATGACACACAGCACTTCACTTCAAATGCAACTGAAAAGTCCACATGTGACACTTGAGCCAGACAGACTTATTTGAGAATTGTCTGCATTGCTTCCTAGCTGAATTAACTTGGAAAATTCTTAGCCCTTCAAAACCCTGGTTTCTTTATTTTTAAATGGAGATAACAGCCTTAGCTTGCAAGGCTAACATGAGGTGGAACTGAGACAGCAGAGCATTGTTGATTATCTCTGCTTTAATCTGAATCCAGTATAACAGACCAAAATCTTTATAATAATGATTAAAGTAATTTGTTGCCATATACTGCAAATATTGGAGATTGCTTTGGATTTTTCTTCTGGTTTTCTTTGTTGCCCACAACAACCTCAATTTTATTTATTTATTTTAATTTTCTCTATTACTCACTCTTCTGATGAAATAATGGCTGAAATATTTGCTCCTTTATTTTGTATTTGTCAAATCCTGATAAACAGTAACATAATACTTTCAACAATAAAAGTAAAAAAAAATTCATATAACTAATACCATAGTTTTAGAAGTACACTTTTGGATATCATTTAACTTGATAATTCATTTAATAAACAATATTCAGTGTATCTTCTACAACTGTCTAATCTGTACTTTGCTGACTTTTCTCTTCATAAATCATTGGCTTAGAACTTCTTTTTTGTATATACACTACTTCCACAAAGTTTCCAAGGTTATGAAGTGGGGGAGTGGATTATTAATTTTTATTCCAGCTCTTGCCAGGCACAAAGATAAGAATTCTAGGTGCTGACATACATAAGGTAATATTATACAAAAGGTGAGAAAGTGAACACACACACACACACACACACACAGGAGAGCACGGGTTGCCTCACATGGAGAAGGCTGTGGGTCCAGAAGAAGAAAGCAGCAGGGGATGAGAAACAGATAAAGCACGCTGGTACTTCCTCCAGTTGTGGTCTGCCGTGGAAGAGAGAGAGAGAGAGAGAGCACCTCCCAGCACCTCCTTTTATGAGAGTGGGGGCAGAATCGTCTCTACAGACAGGAAGCCACGTGGGAATGTTATTGTGTCCCCATGAATTCTTTGTGGAACGCACCATCTGTATTTCTGTGGAGTCTACCCCAGGTCCCAGACTAAGCAAATGTATTCTGGTAGAGGTGTTTTTTTAACTGACAAGTAGGAGAACAGAATTACCCATGGGTCAGGGAATAGTAGCTTACAGATACTTCTGGCTCAGCAGATCCTAAACCAGCTACCTGTATATCCCATATCAGTTACAGATTATTACAGCATGTGTACACGTAATTTTGGTGTGAGAAGAGGATGAATGAAAATATGAAATTTTAACTTAAAGTCCTTTTCTCTACAGAAAATTATCCTCATTAATAATAGGATACAGTATGCAAAACCTATCAGTTCAGCATTCCCTCTATACCTTGGACTAAAATGTTGTAAGATATTTTTTTCCTTTCATATTTCTTTTATCTTGGCCTGTTCTTGATACATGTGTCATAGTCATTAACTGTTGCAGGTTATTTAATATTGGACTTCATTATATCTTGTCAATATTCATATTGGCTTCATATATACACCCTGCTTCCACTAGTCTCATTGCTGAAATATCATTTAAAACAGTTTAGAAAACACATTCAGTTAAAGAAGTTACCAATTCCTAGACTGACCTTAAAAATCAGCATACTAGCTATTCATAGATAACACAGAGGATGATTTTCACTGGAGTAAAACTTAAGTAGTTGCATCTTTTTAAAATTTGGAAAAGACTTTATTTATTGTAAATATGTAAAAAATACTATCATTTTCATTAGGTAATAGATTATTTTAATCTGAATTTGCTCTTTACTAAAAGCACAACTTTTAAACTATTTTTATTTTTAAGCATTTTTTGAGACACTTAATTAACTTTGAAGAAGAACCCATGAGTGATACATCTTTTGCCAACATTTAGATATAACAATAGAAAAGCACAACCTTTGATGCTCTTCCTATATTATAATGTCCTATCAAAGAGGACACATGCATGAGGGAGGTTTGGAGCGACTTTTTTAGCGATGGTGATTACAACGTAAAATGAAGTAACTGCTATATAGAATGCACAAGCAGCATGAGGTTAACAAAAACTTCAGCTTCTAAAATGACCTGATGAGGAGAAGAAGAAAAATACTCATTTTAGAATGATTTTATAAGATTAGAAAGATCTGAAAATGAATATTTTTCAGCAACCAATGTTGACTTTCCATTCCTGATCTATTATCTCAACCTAGAAAGGCACTTGACATTCTAACATAAGTAGAAACTTGAAGAGTTTAAGTAACTTAGTTTCTTTGAATAGATATTTAGGTAAAAGAAAATTAATAAATATGTCTTCCAGAAAGTTTTTTTTCTCTGTGATATAGCTTTTAATGGAAGAAAAGCTTTCTCTAGAAAAACAGAATCAAGGGAAAACAGCCGGAATTCTTACAGGTTAGAAATGAAGTGCCTGAAGTTAGCTTTAATATAGTTTGCTAAATGTTTCCAGAGTTGCCAAGCATCTTTGAACTAAAACATAGCAGGTTTGTTAAAGAAACTCAAAGTAGATCCAAGCTGGCACGGAATTTTCAGGCCATGTGGTCCAATGAATTGAACTTCAGTCATCACTTTCCAAACAAAGCGGAGCTGAGGTTCTTCTGTGGGCAAAAATTCCTGGTCTCCATGCTGAGGGCTGCTTTTGAAATCCCTGTAATGGGACCCCAGGGGGTTTTGATTTGAGATTCACAGGAAATGTTTTTTCCGCCTTCCAATAAATGTTAAAGTTTTTATGATATGACCACTCAGGGTTTTTTGGTAACTGCTTTCCTTTAATAACTTATTCTGTACAGTGGGCAAATAATTCACAGAGCAGCATGCAAAAGGTGTGTGTGTGTGTATGTGTGTGTGTGTGTGTGCATGTGTAACACTATTTGAGGGGAGCTTGTATTTGAAACTTTTTAATTCCTCAGAAATACAGTATTGTAGGAAAACTATTGAAATGGGTATTTTGATGTTGCTTAATTAATGATCATGCTGATTACAAAATTATCCTGGGGCCTACTACCTCACACTATTGTGGTGTAATAGGTAAAGCCACCACCTGCTATGCTAGCATGCCTTAAGGGGAGGGTTCAAGTCCTGGCTGCTCCACTTTTGATCCAGCTCCCTGCTAATGTGCCTGGGAAAACAGCAGACAATGGCCCAATTAGTTGGGCCCCTGCAACCACATCAGAGACCCAAAAGAAGGTCCTGGCTCCCAGCTTTGGCCTGGCCCAGCCCTGGTCATTGCTGCCATTTGGGGAGTGAACCAAAGGATGGAAAATCTCTCTCTCTCTGTCTCTCCTCTTCTTTCTGTAACTCTGACTTTAAAATAAATAATTAAGAAATCTTTAGAAAACATAAAAAATTGTCCTAAAAAAAGAAAATATTACAGCTGAGGCTTCCACTTGGCTAAAACACAGATTAGTATTTTAATATCAGACTGGAAATATCTGAAAAAAAAATCTTTTCATAATTTAAAAGTTATCTTTATTTTACAGAAAAATGTTCTTTACTTTCTGTATTTATGTACTATATATGTTATTTAAATATATAATACTTGAATATGTTTTTAAAAGCTCTTGTTCTTGAAATCAGATCAATTTAACCAAAAGAAAAAAAATCTCTTTTAAATTTGTGACTTTTACTAATACTTTTTGTGTTAGTAATTTCAAACACTGGAGTTTTAACAGTCTATGAGACCATTTAGAGACTAGGTTGTGGCTAGTTTTATAAGTTGGAAAAATTAAGACAATTCTAGAGTAAAAAAATAGATGTCAAGAATATCAAAAACAAAACAGTCTTCCATAACCTGTCAGTAAAATATTTTTAGCATACACAATTAATGAGTATATATTCACTTTTTATTT